GAGTGGGAGAGAGGTGAATTGTATATGTATATAATTGTATATAACTGTCTATTATACATATACATTTGTATAAATGACAAGCGAGTTGGGAGAAGGAGGAGAGAGGCAAGCGAGAATGAGAGAGGAAGGAGAGAGGTGAGGGAGAGAGGGCAGAGATTGGAGAGAGGTAAATTGTATATGTATATAGACTAAAAAATTGTATATTATACATATTTATTTGTATATCCAGACGAATTATACATATACAAACATGGCTAATTATACAAACTCGAAATCAGCCCACGTAATTAATGTATAGTGTTAGTCGCGGGTAGTAATTGTAGCAAACTATAGCTATGATGAGTAATTAAATAGTATAAGTTTGTCTATCCACATAATTTTTCTTCTTTTTTTATTTTAAAATAAATTGATATTTTTTTTAATTAAAAAATATTAATTAAAAGGATAAAAATATTAAAAAGATAAATAACATACACAAAATATCATTCTGATCAAATTTTCTGACCGAAAGTCAAGAGTTTTTTTATAAAATGATTATAGAAGTTTTGCATGGCAAACATGAATGTAATCACCATGACATTGACTCTCTTGAATTATGAAAAATCTTAAATTTAGTTATTTTTTTTTATATACGTGGAAATATGAAATTATGCAATTTAAGTGGGGTGAAATTCAAGAGTGCATGTGCCGAAGCTCGCAGCAGCCAAATGAGAATTACCGTGTGTGAAGAAAGTGTTAAGAGTGAGATAATTCACTTACGCAACTATACTATATTGGTCAGAGATAATACAAGTGTTTGAATAAGCAAATTAGACTTTTATTTTAAAATATTAACTTAAATAAATTATTTATCCGGTTAAATTTTATTAAAAATTGAAATAAATATCATAATTATACCTTATTATAATTAAATTAATGAAATCTTACGAAGTTCCAAATTCGTAAACTTTTTTTAATGAATTAGATGTGTACTTGACAAATCCTGCTAATAAAATAAATTAATTTTTAACTTATTCAAAATTAGATAAATTAGCTGGATCAAAACAAACACGGAACTTCATCAAGGAAAAGACGCGCACAATACAACAAGTACAATAAGTTCAAAATCTCAGAAAACATCAAAGATGCCCTCATCACCAGATATGAGCGGCACTTCGTTATATAGTCCCTCCCTTTTAATTTATTAGGTAGTTTCAAAATTTTGTGGTTTAAATAGATTAATTTTAATTTTAATTTTTAATTTGAGAATAATTTTTATTTAATTTACAAATATATAAATTTTATTTTAAAAATGAAATCTCTCACCTATGAATCATCAATTATTTAATTTTTAAAAAGTGAAAAGCGTAGTAGTATAAATTGAGATAAAAAATACGAGTTATGAAAGAAAAAGAGAATTATTATTCCATGGGACCTGTTCTAAACCTAACTTTTATATCACTGTTTTAACTTTTTCAAAGAAATGAGGGGGCAAACTTTTGCAAGACGTCGGAGAAGAGAAATATATCAAATCACTGTACTGCTTGATATTTAAGCTAATTTGAATTTTCAATAGAATGAATGTGAAATAAAAAAATAGTTAATAATACATATACTTCATAATAATCTTTTAATGAATTACAGGAAAAATCATTTCCTCCTATGAATAAAGTTAAATCATAATACTAAATTTGATACATAGATTATAAAAGGAATTTCTAAATTATAGGGAAGGAAAAATAAAATTCAAGTTCGGGGCAAAATTACGCTTTCGATCAAAGTCATCATGAGTTCTTCTGTAAAAGGACTAAAAAACTTGACCATAAAATCTTCACTCCGGGTAATAAGATAGGACAAAACGGTATTTTCACCTTGTTTCTTAGGTAGATCATCAGTAACTTGCCTTCTGCAAATTGGGCACGTCCAATTGCGCTCTAGCCACGTGTCCACACACTCGACGTGAAAAACATGGCCGCATTTCGGTAGTTTCCGGCAATCCTCACCGCCGACAACATCGTTCAGGCAAACGACGCAGCAATTCTCTTCGCTGTAGTTTTCTTCCACCGTGAACGGCGGCGGTAGGCGATTGTCGGGGTTGAACCACCGTAATTTGATCCCGCAAATTATGAAAACGGTGACGGCGGTGATGGTTGTGATGGTCGTTATTAATAGCTGAAAATTAAAATCCATTGGATTCGGATCAGGAATTTCCCCAATTAGTATATTTGTAAGAAGAAAGAAGAAAAAGGGAAGGTAAAGTGGATAAATACAAATGAATGATCTGTCGAATTGGAAATTGAAAGTGTGTTTTGACAAACAAAAAAATACACAACGAACTTGACCAGACTGGATGAATCGTAGATTCCTTTATCTTTCTTCCTTTTTATATTTTATTTAGATTTAGTAAATTAATTCATCAAAGCGAAATGGATAAGACTAAGCCGGTGAATAGACTCCTTGAGTCATATATATATATATATATATATATATATATATAGT